GACGAAGCCCTGCAATCAAGTTCCCAACCTTTTAGAGAATTGCAAGAGTTGTGTCACATCACCAACAGAAATACAACTGGTTCTTTTTTGCCTACCTTTTGGCTGGAAGGAGGGTGAACAGTTGTAAGATTGAAATGGGAATATGAGGTTTTCTGAAGACAAGCTATCCCCATTCTATTCTTTAAAGCCATTCTAAAACCTATTAAATCATCCAGATCATAATCATACCACTGAAATGTGTCTATGCACAGCTGAATTCAGTTAGTGGGATCCAGAGTATGGCAACCTATAGACTGATTATCTTGAAGATACTTTTAGATGGTTTACTGCTGTCCTGATTTATAATTCAATAGCAATAGTGCTTACAGATTCCTCCGTAATGATTTACAGCATTCCCTTGGCAGTTTACAATATTAGGCTATTGTGCCCAACAATCTGGGTCATCATTTTATCGCCCTTGGAAGGATGAAGACTGAGTCAACCTTAAGCCCTGCCAAGATTGAACTCTAGGCTATGGACAGAGTTTGCCTGTAATACTGCATTCTAACCACTATGCCACTAAGGCTCCCCAAGCCATACAATCGTTTGTTTGTTTGTTTGTTTGTTAAATTTGTGTGCCACCCATCTTGTCTGGAGGTGAGTTGTGTCAATCTCTTATCTTCAGGTCCCTTTTACTTCAGATTCTGTCATCCTTTCCAGTTTCCATATGGGCCAACCTTGTTTTTTCAATATTTATTTGAATTGTTAGGCAGAAAAAAATGATAACATAGATGATGGGAATACCAATCAAGTACTATCTATCTATAGAATAACTAAAGAGCCCCTCATTTATCGATTGCCTGGAACAGAAAGAACAGAGTCCTGACAAGTTTGAGTGGCTGCAGATATCTGAATTTCCCCGTTCTGGAGATCTTCTATCCTTAATCGTCAATGGGCATATAATTCCCATTCAACACTGGCATACAATTGGGGATCTTCTAAGACTCACAGCTTATGGCTATCTGTCAAATGAACAGATAATTTTGGTTGTTCATTAAATCATGATTAAACAAACCATAGTTCATAGCTGAACTCAAGGTGGGCGTCACAAAAACCTTTTAAAGTTTATCAGGCTTGCTTAGGCAAAGAAACAGTAGCAGAAATTGACATAAAGCATAAAGCAAAGCCCTGGATGGGGTTGACAGATACAGTACTGAAATCCATTGGTCTAATCCTTTATAAGTTATAGCATTTCTTATTTATTTGTTACCTTGAAATTTTTATGAAACAGTTCCACAAATTCACCTCTCATTTTGGGGCATCATAATGCTGCAAAGTTTGAGAATCCTGGCTAAAGTAGTTTTGAAAAGAAAAACACTTTTCCTTCTTTCCAGGGAAAATAGCATTCCATTTTTTGTCATAGTATCTATTTTCATACTATATCTGCATGGAAGTTATTTTCTTTTTAAACCACTAGTATTTCATATACTGTGATTAATATAATATTTTCAGCACATCACAACTGAAATTTCCTTGCGTTTTTCTGAATGCTAACAGTGCTAGTAACTTTTCAATTCCTAGGAAATATAAAACACAGCAGTGAAATTCATTAAATAGCATGCTGTACAATTTTATCCTGATAAACTTATCATGGCCTTGGTTCCTTCTGATGCCTTCAGTGCTGTCTGCTTTTTATTGGACTCTTTTAAATTTATTTTACTCACATTTCTTTTCTTTATTGTAAACCCCTCTGTAATCACGGGATAAAGAGCAGCATATAAATTGCATAGTGTTAATATTAAAAGTATGCATATACTTGTTCTGGGATTATAATACTTCCTTAGACAATACACTTTTTTTATCTCGCCCATATTTAATCCTATCAGAAGAGAGTAACACCTCTGGCTGATCCGCTCACCAGTTGCTACATTTCAACAAGTTATATACTGGTTGCATCTTGTTCAAATGTGTCCTTACATTTTTTTAAAAAAATAACCATATTTTTGTTGGCTGTAAATATAAATGTAGAAAGATTACAACTGTTCTGAAAAACATGAGTAGAATTAACATTTTTAAAAAATATGATGGACAAGTACATAAAAAACTTAGAGATGCCAAGCATGAGACACGACTGAAAAATATTTTTGTATGTTCACATCAGTAGTGCTTTTATAAAAAAAAACCATAATCCAGGGTCATACAAACCCAACAGGAATGTTTAAAAAGACAAAGTTACATGTATGTATTGGTGTGTGCCTAGTGATTTGTGATAATTTAATATCAATTTATTTCTCATAGGGAGACCATTTAAATGGAAGTGGGGATCATAAATGAGATGGGAGCCGAAGAATTATAGAACAGTGATGGAGAGGCTATATCTGGTGTTTTGTTCATCTTAGACAGTAGAAAAAATATAATTTATATATTTTAATTTACTGTTCTATTTCTTTCCCTAGTTTTCAACCAATAAAAGAACAGCTGGAGAATAGGATTATTATAAAATGTCTTCAGAAATTTCATTATCTTTCAAGATGTAATAAACAAGGTTCCACAAGACAAAACAAAAATGTGCCAACCCACATCTTGGGTAAAGATAAAAACCAAGTAAAATAATTAATGTACAGTTGTACCATTTTTGCAAAAGTGTCTACAGTAATTACTGACCCATCTGAGCCCTGTACCTTGGGGCTAACCCCCTAATGGCACACTGACCTACCCAGGTACCCCATTTTGTTCACGCAACAACTTCATTAGTTTCCCTTGGTCTCATTTCTAGTTGTCTAATGTTAACTTCAGATGTTCAAGGTTTAAAACATGTTCTCCCTCTTTTCAACACAATTTTTGCTGGGGATACTTTTTAACACACTTAATCAGCTATATGATTAATAAAGTGGTATGGGCTGGGGATCAGTTCTACTCCTATTGGCCATTTTGCACTGCTAGAGGCATACCCCCTACTCCTCTAGATGCTGAGCATTGTCCTTTGTGGTCATTTTTGCGTGAATTGGAGAAGATACCAGATTCCTCAGAGGGACTTTCCATGTAATGTCTGAGAGACACTTCATCTGACCTCATTATTGTGTACAGATTCAGTGCTCTTTTGAAAAAGACTTAGATCTGTGTCAATGGGGTTAGCGATCTTTTAACAGAGTGTAATGCTATGTTTTACTAAGGGTCAATTTAAACTGCGAAAAAGAGACAGATACTGTCCATTGCATATTACTGTCTTGTCCTTATTTCCTGCGTGTTTCCAGCAGTGCTGTTTGACTATTCTATGGGTTTTTTCTGCGTTCTGTCACCAATAATCTTCCCTTGTATCACTAGCTGAGAATGGAAGTTGCTTGTTTATTCATTGTCCTTTTCTTGCTTCACCTGATCCCAACTTATCCATGTTACAGATCACAGGCACCAGAAGGCCTGAGGTATGGTGGAAGATAAGGAAAGCCATGATAGTCCTCAAAAGCTTTCTTCTATATCAGCAACCTGTCACTCAAGCAATTTGAAAGATAGCCAAACTTTTCATCCTAGGCATCTTCTACACTTGCCCACCCCTAATCTACCATAGGTTAAGAAGAGTGATTAGCAGTGATTCCCCACCTCATCTGTGGAAATGATGCTCAGCCGGAAGGGGGAAAGTAGTTAGGGGAATCCAGCAATCATTTTCCTTAACCCATCCTGCAATAAAAAATTTTAATGTTGGCACCACTAATTGGCTCTTTCCTGAGACAGGATAAGGTTCAGGGCAGCACAATTTATGCTGGCATAGTTTTCTGCTGATTCAGGAATAATATCATAATGCAACCATCTGGTTGTGCCCCGAAACAGTCATTTATGGCTCATTAAAGTCTCAAAGAAAAGCAGCAGGAATGCTCTTCTAACTTATAAAAGGTTTCATGCCTGGTTACATGAAGGGGAATTTTATTGTTACAAATGGGTTGACAAACTTACAACAGGACTCGATATGTAACCTATAACTTTTATATTCAAACCAGTTTACTAACTAGATTAACAAACAGTGCTTAGTCTGATTTTATTAAAAATAATTCACTGTTAATGATAAGGACCCATCTGGGAAATTATTTTGGGAACAGCTTAAACTCCAAAGTAATAAATAATCCATACAAATATCATTATCACACAATCATTAATTGTGTAAACCATTGTTGAAAGAATCTATATCATATTGTATATTATGTGGGAATAAGATTATAGTTTATAATTTGAGTATATTTTGCAGTTGTTCAGATAAATTATATCAAGTTCATTAAATCATACTCCACAATAAAGAAAAATAATCATACCCACATTTGATCACTTCTACTGACCCATTTATATTCATTATTCTATTATAACGATGTCTACTGTTAAGATCAATATCTTTTGATAGTCAATGATCTCTAACAAAACGAGGATGAAATTGCATAATGTTGGCTAATAAGCTGCCTAAATTTTCACTAAATTGGGTGTTACTTTATTAAATTTTACATAGTAACTTGTATTTACTCTCTACCCACAGTAAATAGCAGTCAAGGAATTACTAGATAAAATTTAGAACTAGCAATATAACTCTGTAACAGTGTCTGTTTACATTTAGGTCCCAATGGGCTCACTGGGGTTTATTTTCGGGTATGGAACTGCAGCCTAAAGATATAATAGGTAAAAATGATGGTGTGAACTGTCAACTTAAAATGTCATTGAATATGATCAAATCAGATTCCCCAACCACCACACTACTATAGAATATATTTTATTTATATTGTTCATGGCAAAGGCAACAAACTAAAGGAAGTCTATTATTTAACAATGAACATATATGACCACAAGAAAACTCAGCACTGGAAACTTGTCATGCAAGCTGGATAGTACAATGATTGCCTTGACTGATGCATCTTTAAAAATAAGTATATGCGAATGTAGCACCTGTGACATTTTTGCACTTGTCAATAATTTATACACCTCCCAGTTGGGGGTTCGGGCTCTAGTCCAGCCAAATACATTTTTAAAAAGCATTTTAAAAATACCTTTAAATCAGGAGGTTTGCTCCGGGTAGCAGGATGGGGAGCTGGGTTTGGATTGGAGACACCCAAATCCACCGGAGCAGCAGCTGAGTCCCCAAGCTTAGCATCCATGGTTGGCAGAAGGAGGGCATCTTCTGTCCCAGCAGAGTCCCCGTCTAACTGCTGCAGCTCATCTGACTTGCACCTCTTCATGCTGGGTGAGACGTCAGCCTCTGGTTCTTGCTTTTCCAAAGCATTGCAGATAAGAAACAGGAGGGAAGGGAAACGGGGGAGGGGTGGGAGCGAAGGACCAAGTCAGATCATCCCAGAAAGCTGAAGTTCATTTTCACCTGTGATCCGGAGGGAGGTAAGCAGACTACAGGGAGGAGCTGTGAAGAAAAACATGTCCATCCAACTCAATGCGCTGGATGGCAGGACAGGACCCGCTCCCACCACCCAACTTTGACCGCCTGAGTTAAAAACTGCAACTGGGAAAGAGCTGGCTGGCTGGGATTTGACTGGGAGGATGAAGCGCGAGCAAACAGTATGCATTTGCTAGCGCTCCCCTCCCTTCTTTCACAGGCTACTCACTGCTTAGGGAAAAGAAAGAGCGATCTTGATCTGAGCGTCCTGCATGGGTGGCAATTCTCTCCCGCCGAGGGCATCTCTTCCTCTTTTTCTTTTGACGCGACGGCCAGTCGCTGCTCGCTTACTTCCCCCACGCATGCAAAAAAAAAAAAAAAAAGGAACCCACTTTCCGCCGTTCCTGCCGAGGCTGAAGAGCAAATCCCTCAGCCTAACCCACCCATTTAGCAAGCCGGCTGGCTAACCTGATTGATAGCCAGGCCTAGCCAATCCAAGTCGTAGCTGGATCTGGAGAGCAGGAGGAGGGTATCAGCCTCGAGCGCTTTCCAGGTTTGGTTGGCCGGTTGGCTCTCGTCCTCCCCCGCCCGCCGCCCGCCCCTTCTCGCTATCAGGAGCTGTCAATAGGGGAATGGTGCTGCACTGGGCTGCGGCTTTGCAGTGCGGGCGGGAGTTCCCTTCGCAGCGTTGCGGGGACGGGAGGAGGACATTGGCGTGGTCTCCTCGCGTGAACCCCTCCATTGGGTCCCGCTTAGCCTGTTTTGGGGGACGCGGCTGATATCAGTCATGCCAACTCTCTTCTATTGCCATGGGAACTCCTCCCACCCGCAAGCCACTCACCAAGGGCTGGTTTTGCTTTGAATTTATTCGCAGCTTCACTAGAGGGCTATGTTTCAGCTGTAAACATTTGGTTGCTTTTCGGGTAGAATTCTCGCTATGCATTTTCAGGTGTGCATGTCAGTGTCGATAGGACGTACAGAATTCGTACTTCTATTAATACACTTCGTTGCCAATTCCATTGAAAGGAGGAGAGAGATGTTTGATGACCCCGAATATGCATGTAGCAAAAGGAATCCACCACAGCACCCATCAACCCCAGCCTGCAAATGCTCCAGTGCAAACTTATTTCAAATATGTTCTTATTCAATGTATTCAATCGTATTTATTAATCTATGTGCCAACATTTCACCACCTGACTTTAATATATTTGAAGCCCATGTGTCATATACTATTTCGTTTTGTTTTCTTCCCCTTACTTTATCTTACGACTTTTAAAAGGCAAGAAAGCAATGTGCATAACATGCTTACATATAATTCACAACTCATATTGCTGTATGTTATATAAAATTAGAATTACCATATGGCTTTTAAACTTTCCTTGACCTAGAAGATTTGTCTGTTGCTTTTTCCACGTGAAGGGTGGCATCATATTTATGGCATAGGCCCCATACCCCATTTCAATTTCAATCAGTCTCACAATAAATATTGGCTTTATTTCTGGTTGTTTTTAGAAGACCTTCCCAGCATAGGCTCATCAAATGGATTACTCTACATTGCATTCCCCAGACATCAGGCTACAATAAATGGGCAGGTTGGCTGGACACTAATGCCCTACACCAAAATACTTAAATGATGCCAGAGGCTCAAGAAGATTAGATCATTGAGTTCTACTCTACCTTACCTAGGGTAGTTTTACCTTGAGATCCATTATAGTAAACATGACATACACTGTACTAGATTCATTGAAACTTTATTAAGACTTTCAGGAAAGTCTTTTCAAGGGGGTGGTGAAGAGGAGGAGGAGGCGGGGGAGGGAGAGGGAGAGTTATCAGTCCAACTATTAAATTGTAAGAATAATTTTTCCCCCAAGCCACGGATCTTCAAAATTTTCACTTTTGAAGGATTAAAAAAATAAATAAATTACTAATCCCTGATGATTCAGCACATATGATTTTTCTTTGAAATTAACCATGATATGTAAAGGAGGCCAACAATAAAAAAAAAACCCACTGTCAACTGCTGTTACATAATTTATGTCTGTAGCAATCCATAATTAACTTCTGTCAACTGCTATTAAGTGTTTCTTTGATTGATGCCCATAACAATCTCCTCAAATCATATTGCCCTTTTGGTCAGCTGTTTGTCAGCTCTTAGTCATCTGACTTACTGTAGTCTAGTAATTTTTTTGTGGGTACGTTTATATTTCCAACAATATTGATACTGTATTTATGTAATATATTGCCTAAATAGAGGCTTTTGGTACTTCAACAATAAAGTCTTTGAACATCAGTTTTGTTCCAATTTCTAACTTCTACAAAAAAGATGACCCACATTTTATAGGTTGCTTTGAGTCTTGTTTAAAATGTTCACTTTGAGCTTTGTGGTCCATGCAGAACTTGAACAACATAAAACACACAGTAACTTCAAGACTAAATACTCAGTCGTATGACTTCAACACATAAGAACAGTATTATATTTTTGCCATTTCTTTTCCTATATCCCATCAAATGAGTCACCCTGACTGCAGTTCCAAAATAAAATAATCCAGCAAAATAACAGTAGCCTTTTTTGGGGTGTATATGCACTTTTCAATTAGGGTTTACTACAGGTGACTACATGGACTAATCTATAGTAAGCAGTTTTCTTGGTCATATTTTCAGCAATAGTTCTCCCTAGGGCTGAGAGGCAGTGCCTGGCACAAAGTCTGAACCACAACAATGCCCCCCTAAGCAGGGGGATGGGATTTTTATCAAGTGATAGTAACTCTTGCCCTGGTGCAATCTAATGATCCATCTTGGTGCTTAACTGGCACAATGAATTATCCAAGTCATACATCTTCTGTGACAGTTCAAAATAGCTATTTTGACCAAATATAATGTACTGTCATTTTAATACAACAGAACGATCTATGTACCTAAAATTTGGATAGGGAAGACCATTTATTATGAGATTCATTTGACAGAAAACATAGCAAAATGAACTTCCCCAAAGGTAAATTTCCTATGATTAATTAGTCCCACAAAAGCTGCAAAAACTAATTAACCTATGTATAACAATCCATGTAAAATAACTTCATCAGGTGACATGGTATTGCATAGGAACATGATGAAATAGCCTGTTTCAGATAATGAAAAGGATAGATAAAGGCAGAAATGAATGTCTGAACAAGACTTTGTATAATGTAACTCTGTAATGTCTACCCGTAAATAAATCCCAATGACTTTAATTAGATTACTTCTGAGAACATACATTTAGAATTGTAGTCTTATCCAACAATTCTGTTGAGATCCCTTTGGAATCCAATAGAATTTACTCCACTGAAGTGGGTGACGGATTACTATCTTAAAGTATTTGACTAAGCAAGAGGTTATGCAACCATTTTCTTCTCTGCTTCAAGCAATAAATTGTACTGAACTAAAATTCGTAGCCAAATTTTTGCCTTCAAGTTTCTAAGATTCACACATATTCTCCTTGCTTTTCTTCACCTCATACTTTCTATTAGAAGAGCTATTTAAAGTTCTTAAAACTGACCATAAATCTTTCAACACAAAATATGTTCATTCTTTAACTGTAGTTCAATTTCAATTGAACTGTTGCAAAATATTTTTTACTTAATAAATGGCAATTAACTTTTAAAAACCAGGATGCAAAATAGTTAAGCTAGAAATGTTTTTCTTGTACAGTATGGACAAGAAAACCTAGTTGAATATTTTAAAAATAATTATTTTAAATGCATCCTAAAAATCATGATGTTTTTCAAGCAACTTAAATATTCTGAACAGTCAGCTCAGATCAACTTCACAGAGCCAATTATGAACAATCCATAATTAAAAGTTAAGACTGTCTGGTTTCATTGACACTATTTTCAAGCAAAAGTCTCAGTCATATGAAGATGTTCAGAATATAGTTCTGTGAGCAAAAGATCAGTCTCCGTCCTTTCAAATAAACTGATTACATCATAGAGATAATTGCTTCAACAGACTATGGATGACTAGTTTTTTTCCAAAAGGAAAAAGTAAAATAGAAAATGAAATATGATGGATATATAAAATTCCTTTATATTATTAAAACTTTACCCATTTCTGATTTACCAAATTTTGTTAGCAAGCGGTTGGATTGTTCCTCTGTTTTTTTTTAAAGGCATGGCTCTGGTACCGTGTTCAAAGATATTCAGTAGACAGCATGAGGGCCAAAATCAGAATGTGCCTGGTGCATAATTCACTAAGTCAGCAGGATATGCATAAGCTTCACAAAGATAATTTCCTATGGAAGTCCTTTCGGGGGCATTCATTAGCACAAATGTCTCAGTTGGAGCCCTGTGGAATTAGTTTTGTGACATATGAAAATGATCTTGGTAGCTTCCCTCAGTGTATATTAAGATATATTGGGAGTGCAAATTCTAAAATTTCCATCTTGGTAGACCAAACACACCAAGAATCAACAGTTGGATAAGGTATCTATAGACAACTTAATATGTGTTTAAGAACTGCCTAGTGGAATGGGAGAGCTGAGGAAATTGTACAAACAGAAGGTTCCCACAAAGCAAGATACCACCTGACTGAATTTCCATGAAAACTAATGGACCCTGCTCTTACTCTGGCATATTCCTCACCAGAGATCACCATCTGCATGGGTCTTCCCATAAGCAAATGTCACCATCCCCTACATCAGGCCTATTTTAGGTACTCTGTGTAGCTCTACCACTTCTGGTTTTCTGGAATTAGTCCCCATACTTGTATTTGATTGCCCACTTTCTATTAAAACATCAGTAGCAGTAATATCAATAGGTTATCAACTGAATAATTTCCAATATAATCTGCCAAAGAACTTTAAATGTCATAGCTATTTGCGGAAGGCGCTTATGAATAATGCTATATTAATTATTACATATTTCCGATCACTTTACAGGGGTCAGCTACCAAACAAAGATAAAAAAGAAATACTTTAAATAAATAAATAGTCTCATATCATAACACTAATCAAATGAGATCAAGGATTATGTTAAAATATTATAGATAATTTAGAATACTAAAGTAAACAAAGGTTTAGGAGCCTTCAAAATATTTATAGTCTGAAGCTTATTGTTAAAAAAAAGAAACCATTATCTGCTTTGGAATA